TCTTGTGCCATGACCCACTATTTCCCTATTTTTAGGTTTTTGTATTTTGAAAGTAATCAGATTGTTTTATATCATAAGACATGGACCTTAACAGATTCTTTGTGAATGTTGTTTCTCTGAACTTTCTACTCTTACTGCTCGTGTAGAAAAGCCACAGGACACTGGTGAGGGCTCGTGTACTTTCCTTCCTAATGAGCTCTGTGTGCTGTGGTTTGGGAGAGGAAGAGCTATGGGTATAAGGAAAGGTATATTTTGCTAGTGCCCTCTTAGATTTCTTCCCTCAAAAAATGGGTAAGAAAAGCACAGCCTTTTGACAGTAGAGCACTTTAGCATATGGTCCAATAGTACCCTTTCTCCTGTGGCCTCTTAGCAACTAATATGGTAAATATTTTCTCGTTTAATAAGACAATCATGTTGTAGCCTGAAATTACTCTAGTAGTTTGAAATCCACAATGGAAGTGTGTGTGTGTGTGTGTGTATGTTGATAAAAAGGTGAATGTTTAATATTTTCAGAAGAGTTGCTATATAGTAAATGACACATGCCACGAATAATGGGATAAGTATGGTTGAAGCTAAGGAGAGTATTTTGAGGGTGATCAATGGCAATGTGTCTTTTACTGTAATACATTTTTAAATTCAAACACATCATGTTTTTTGATCACCACTTACATACTGTGGAAATCCAATGCTGCAAATAGGTGCTTCCTTACCCCGTTTGTTGGTACAGGTATTAATTTATCAATCCCTCTCCTTTACGGGGGGGGGGGCTGCTTCTCTGAATTCTTGAATTTACAGGCATTAATTTATCAACCCCTCTCCCGATGGGGGGGGGCTGCTTCTCTGAATTCCATGTGGCCATTAATGATGGAAAATAAAGAATCAAGGAGGTATAATGCATAATACTCTTAGTTTTCACTTAGTAATCTATAATACTTTGGAACAAAATGAAATAATAGATTCTAGGTGAGATTCTTCTCCTTTATAATGAATATAAAAATAAGAAATTGACAACAAAATCTATTTTAATAGTAGCACATTTTATATGGAGCTTGCTTTTAGACTTAAGAACGTTTTAGCAATCAAATAATAACAAATGCTGCTGAGGCTGCACAGGAAAAAGGAACCTTTCAGCATTGTTGGTGGAACTGTGAACTAGTACAACCACTATGGAAATAAGTATGGATATTTCTCAAAAAACTAAAAGTAGAAATTCCACTTGACGCAGCTATTTTCCTTCTAGGTATCTTCCTGAGAGTTAAAGATATATTACAGTGATCCATGCATACCCATGTTTAAAGCAGCATAATTCATAATAGTTACATCTTAGAAGCAGTCTATAAAGTCTATCAACAGATGAGTAGATACAGAAAAATATGGTATTTATGTACTGTGGAGTACTACTCTGCCATAAAGGATAAACTGAAGTGATTTGTACAAAATGGGTGCATTTTGAGGCTGTAGTGTTAAGGAAAATAAATCAGACACACAAGCTTAAATATCGCATGGTTTATGAGACTCAATTTATAAATAAAAAGCAAAATAAAGGATAGATGATAGGAAGAAGGGAAATATCTTTCTCAAATGGGAAGGGGCTCCAGAGATGGAGGGAGAGGAGGAAAAAGGGATGAAAAAAGGAATTAAGATGTGTTATGTGCGTGCATCAACTCCACCCAAGGAGCGTGACCATTATGTACTGTGTACATATACTAATTGAAAATAAATAAGTGGTTAGAAAGAACCTTTTCTAATAATTTTATGCTATTTACCAAAAATGCTAAGTAAATATTTTGAAAGATTGTGCAAGAGCCCTTAACCTAATTTGTGGAGTTGACAGTTGAGGTATTATTTTTTCTACAAGTGATCATTGAATTTAATGGTGATTGGAGAGAATAGAATGCATAATGATAATAAATAAATAAATAATAGTTGAAGAGTATAATCTAAGACTTACACCTTAAAGTAGGTTATCTACTTTAGGTTTTTTTCCCCTGATGTCAACAGCACAGTTAGAAAAGTTTAGCTGGGTGTGGTAGAGCACACCTATAATACCATCACTTTGGAAGGCTAAGATAGGAATATTGCAAGTTCAAGTCCTGCCTAGGCACCTTAATGAGACTCTGTCTCAAAACAAAAACATTTTAAAAGGGCTAAAGATGTAACTCAACGTGAAGGCCCTGCGTTCAACTCAGGGACCAAGAAAAGAAAAACTTTTGTGTACTGTTAATGTTTGCCTGAGCTTTATTTATGACCTACTAAGCATTAAAAATTACTATTGTGTATTTTTTAAACTTTCAACTATCAGTGTCTTCATAATAAACATGGAAACAGCACCCATTTATTTAGCATCTTAGAAAAAATATGCTTTGCATATACAGTTATCCCTTAGTGTCTGAACAGCATTGGTACCAGGACCCCCCCCATGGGTAACAAAATGTGAGGCTGTTCAAGGTTTTTATATAAACTGTGTAGCAGGTAGTATTTGTGTAAAACCTATGCAATCTTCCCATATACCTTAAATCATCTACAGATTACTTATAGTGCCTAATACAATGTAAATGCTTTGTAAATAATAGCTGTTATAATATACTGTTTACAGAATAATGACAAGAAAAAGTCTGTACATATTTAGTACAAACAGAACTTTTAAAAGTATTTTCAATTTGCAGGTGCTTAAATCTGCAGATGCAGATTCCACAGATACGGAAGGCTGATTCTGGTGAATTTTCTTAAACAATTTAAATCTTACCCTTAAAGTTCTAAGACTTTTAAAAAACCATTTTCTGAAATACTTTAAAAATATTTTAAACATATTCCTTATTCATTAAACTAAAAGTTCAAACTCTCCTTGCTGAGCTAGAAATAATCATTTTCCTGTAATGTGTAAGCAACCACTTTTGTCAGAATTTAGATTTTATTTGGTTCTATCTTTAATTACCATGCTACAAAAAGGCCTTTGTCACTGGTCTGGTGTGGTGATTGTATGGATTCAAGTAAGCCCCACTCCCCTTTCCTCCTTCAGTCTCCTGAGTAGTGTTATTATTAGCCCTGAACACCCTCCATTATGTTTGGAGTTACATGCTAGATTAGATTTTATTAGGGCTCTTAAGTGAGGTTGTGAGATGTCAAACTTGCTTGTGGTCCTATTAGTTACTTCATTTTCTCATCTGGAATATGAAAATAATGAGATCTTCTCCAAGGGATTGGTGTGGCAGGCACGGAAGAAAGGCAACTGAAATGGGTCTCTATGCTGTCACTGTGAGGTTCCTTCATGAGCACAGTTGCTGCAGGTCCTATGATACATACTAGATTCTTTTGTTTATCATTTTCCAAAATGATATGTTAGTTTCTTAGTACTTTCCAAAGGTGGATAAAAAGAATTTTGTGCGTTATTGTTATGAACTCATGGATTTAAGCCATTACATTTACCTTAATTTGATAATCAAATTGTTCCATCTTTGGCCAGTGAGAGTTTATAGATAGTAGTTAGGCCCATGAGTCTTCGTGATATAATCCTAGTAATCTCTGACAGCCTCCCTGCTTTCTGATATGATTCATTGTTCCATGCTCATCTTGTACATTTCCCTGCATCAATATGAAAGAGATCAAAAGCCATAGTTTACCATAGGAGGAATTCAAATTTTAGAAATGGTCTAGGTGTTTGGATTGCTCATTACTACTAGGTAGGTTCTTTTTCTAAGCCTTTTGGACAGAACAAAAAAAAATTTAAGTAAGACTATATCCAGAGATCATACCAATAATTCCAATTGATTTTGAGGACTACAGTGTTTTTACATAATCATTCTTATATCCATATGTCTATCCCCATGCCAAAAATTCTGCTTGTAAGTGGCACTAGCCTGACTACTCAATTGCTTTATCCCACACTACATACATAATAACTTCAGGATACCAGCAGTGTTAGCACCAACTAAAAAATGGTTTTAAGAAATGTTTGCAGTTTTTGTTGTCTTTAGTATATCTATATATCATTATAAGTGAACTATAAAATTTCAGGATTTTAAAATCATTCTGAACAGTTCCTTTCTTCAACCATATAGATAGATAGATAGATAGATAGATAAACATTTGTATTATATTTCTAATCTTATCTTTAGTGCTATTTCCATTCACCCTAATATTCTAATTAACATTCTTCCTTGGTTTAATGTTCTCCCTCTGTAGTCTGCTTTATTTTTTGATAATGAGGAATATAAAAATAGTTACTAAAATAACATTTGAAGTAAAAAATGTAGATTTTAAGATAGATGTATACACACTTATATTTCCTTACTCTAGAAGCTGAGCAATAATAGAAATAATAATGTCCTAGTAGCAGTGAGTTTCTAATGTCATACCCCAATAAAAGGGACCAAGATTTATTGGAGAAATGACTGATTTGAAGGGTGGGGCAGAAGAAGAAAAGATAAACCTAGAGAATTTTGTAGTATTAGATAGTAAGGAAGTGCTCAGACATACATATATGCATGCACACACCCAAATACAGTGATGGGGGGATGTGAAAGGGCACAGGAACTAACTGAAATAGCTACCAGTGACCATAGCTAGAATATTTTGAGCAAGAAAACAAATAACATAGTATTGGCCTTACGACAGAAATTATAAAACAAATATATCTGTGAGCCCATACTGATATGAGTAATAATTCAGTAAATAAGTGGAGAGAATAAACAAAGCTGTAGTGCAGAATTGCAATTAATGTAGACACTATACCCTCAAACAGGTAGATCATAACTTCTTATTCCTTAGTTGTAGGCTATGCATAGCCTTCTTTCCAAAGAGTACAGTATGGAAAGGCGAGTGAAAGAGTAACTTAATAGTGGAGAAACCTAACAAACACCTCTTAACCTAAGTGATCAAAGCAAGGTTAGTGATCAGTCATCTTGTGTGTGATGATCTACACACAGTTTATGGATCGACTTAGTTAAATATTGGGTGTGTATACTTAGATATTAATAGTTCTTTTCTTTGATTTCCTACAGGGTTGGCTGCTGCCAAACTATTGTCTGAACATGAACTTAGTGTTTTGGTTTTAGAAGCCAGGAACAGAGTTGGAGGAAGAACATACACAGTGAGGGTAAGTGATTTTAATGTTTATATTTATATAATATTCATACACAATATCTCACTCAAAGCTACAAGTGGGACCATTGGAAGTCACAGACCTGGAGATTGTATGCATTTAAGCAGTTGAGCATTTGTTCTCCATAACCCTAATGTATACCATCAAATAAATGATGATTGTCTTCAACAAGGACTCACAGAACAGTGGCAGCCTACGATCTTCAGTTGCTTAGACTCCAGTGAAGACAACAAATATGAGCAAAAAACTTCAATATGGTGTCATTATTTCTGGAGTAGAGACCTAAGTCAAATGTGTATATAGCTTGGAGATATGGCTCAGCTATGCCAGAAGTGACTGTATATTCCCAATAGGCACATATACACATGTATATGCATACATGTTTGCTGTAAGTTCCTTGTTCATTTATCCAACAGTTCATGGCTTGAAAGAAGTATGGCCACAGGAATCAGGAGCCACATATAACATATGTTTATGCAACTTTTCCCTTGTCCTCTTTGCTCAGGTCAGGTATTACTAGACATGAAAAGGTAGTGAGTTCTTGCTACATCATTGCTTTGTTATATTTGGGTTTACAACACCATTCTGGAAAAATGCATACTAATTATACTTTACTGCTAATATGTTTGCAGGTGGATCTCTGAGAGCTGATGAAAGTGCACAGGGAGAGTTTTTAGGGTAGGAAGGAAATAGAACCAAAGAGGAAAGCTTGGGGAGCATGCAGATGAAAGGGAGACAGAAGCAAAGGAGCCAGAGAGAAGCCATAGAGGAAGAGAAGGAGGACCAGGGTAGAGCAGTGCTATGCCAGTCAGTGGAGGAAAAAGGAAGGGTCAAATGGCACAGAATAAATGCAGAAAAGATGCTCCTGTGTTCAGTATTTAGAAAGTCATTAGACAGACCCTTTGCTAGAGCACACAGAAAAAATGACAAAGCCTGAGGATTGGCAGAAAAGAAAAATCCAGATAGTTGAAGTAACTGGAAGGAAAGAAAACAGCTATATAAGATGTTTTGGTTAGAGTAGCAACAGAATGGCCTAGACAGTGATAACAGTGGCATAGACCATTTATTCATAAGAAAATTTCACAGAAAAAGTCTGGTGGTAGATAGTCCAGGCTAGTGCAGGGTTTCAGCTTTGTCCTCATAGTTTCAGACTCTTACTTTTTGCTCTGCTATTCTTTGCATGTTGGCTTATTGCATTCTGGTAATAAGACGAATGCTGCTACTCTAAGCATCCAGTCTTCATTCAAAGCAGGAGGGAGAATGAAGGAGCAGTATCACCCTCGTTTGTGACAAAGATTTGTTTTACCAGAAGACTCTGGCAGACATTTGCTTTTGTCCCATTGGGCAGACTTGGGTCACATACTACCTTCAACTGGAAGGCGCCTGGGGGTGCAAATATTTAACATTTCCAGGCTGCAGAGTGGAAGTAGGCATGGGAAAGAAAATCTGATGTTGCAATAGCCAACCAACAACGCCTGAACTAGGATAACATACTAGCTCTTTCAGTCACACCACGCAACTCACACTTTATCATTCGCATACTACTTTGTCAGATACATGAGGTAGTAAGCTTATTTCCACTTTGCTCAGCTCTAAGAGTATTCTCCAGCCTTGCTACTCAGATTATGGTCTGTGGACTTCCAGCCTCAGAAGCACCTGTGAGCTTGATAGAAATGCAGAATGCAGGTCCTGTCCCAGACAGCCTGAATTTGAATTTGCAGTTTAACAAGATCCCCAGGGGGAAACCATAGAAGTGCTACTTTGTAGTGTATATGTGCCTGCTTGCTTTAATTTAATGTCCATTCAGATTAAATTTATTCAGACATTTCTGTATGCTTTCTTGGATGAATTCTCCAATTGGTTTGGGAGTGAGGAGACGGGTATTCTTTTTTTTGAGACAGGGTCTCACTCTGTAATTCATGCTGGCCTTGAACTCACTGTGTAACCCAGGCTAGCCTCGAACTCATGACAGTCCTCCTGCCTCAGCCTTCCAAATGCTGAGATTACAAGCATGAGACACCACTCCCAGCAGGGAAGTAGTATTCTAACCCCTGTACTGGCCTGACATGCCATCTTGGATAAGTCCTTTTGGCACTTCACATTGCAGTTCTCATTTGTGCAGTAAGATACAGTCCAAATACCCTCCCAGAAACTCTCCATTCAAATTGCAATTGAAGGCATTGTGTGGTGGTGCAAAAGAAGGGTTGCATAGTCCACTTATATGCCTTTACTAGATTTGATTCTTAAGTCATTTTCTAAAAATTTTCAGAAATATTTATCCCTTCATTTTAGAAATAGTTATTAAGCTGTCCCTTGCCCTGTTCTTATCTCTTAAAAACCTTTTTGCTCATTGAATAGGAGCATCAGTCATGTTGGAGATTTCCAGTTAAGAATAAGTTACTTTGTATAAGGGAAATTAGAATTCCATCATGCTTATCCAAGTCTATGTTATTGGCCTAAGCTGCTTAGCTATGCTGCCTCATTTATATATGTTAGCACCATATAACTTCCTATTAGTACAGGAAGTACTACCAGTTAATGTATATTCAGCATGATATTAAACACCCCTTAAGTATATAAGAAAGGGATTTTAGAAATGAGCACTTAACATCCATATTTCAAATGAGTAGAAAGAGAAAAAGGGCTTGAGTAGAAACAAAAATAACATTTAGTTAAGAAGCTGTATAATAATACATAATGTATTAATTATTGTAACTCTTGTACTAACCTGTTTTGAAACTGTTTTATTGTTATTTTTTTTCTCTTTAAAAAAATGCTGTATTAGCTTTCCCATTGTTTGGACAGAATACCTTGGCACCCACAATTTAAGGAAGACAACTTTATCTTGGCTTATGTTGTAAGAGGGTTCATTCCATGATAGACTGGCTCCAAGACAGAAAAAGTATGGTTGAAGGGCCTGGCATAGGAATGCTACTCAACCCATGGCAGCCAGCCAGGAAACAGAAGACAAGGGGAAATAGCTGGGAACAAGAACACACCCTTTCAGGTCATACCCCCGGTGACCAATCTCTTTCAACTAGGCCCCACATCCTAATGGTACATTGAGCTATGAACTTATCCATGGATCATTCCACTGATGTGTGTAGTACCCCCATGATCTTCTGAAAGCCCCACCTCTGAATATGTGAGGCCAGGGGGTACATTTTAGATCTAAACCATGATAGAAGCATAATCAATAATTATTAGAAGTGCTTCTAACAGCATAATTAATTAGAATAATTTTGGAGGAGATGCCACAAAAACTATTTTGGATTTTTAAGTACCAAAATGTCAAATTTGGTATTGTCACCTGACAGCTATTCAGATGGATTTTTCAGTAGTTCACAACTTCCCTATTTTTCCTAATGTGGTCCATCCATAATGCTTCAGATTCAAATTAATGAAGTCAAAATGCTCATAGAACCACCACAAAGTTGGTATATTTGCTTTCTAATATAGTTGCATATCTATGGACTTTTTGAAAACTGAAATCTAAATAAAGGCCTTAAAGAATGAAGAGCATCATAGCAGTCTTACACTTCTAGTATCTTTACACTGAATCTGAGGCACCTCATTTAGAATATTTCTGCTTTGAAAAGAAGTAATCTGTATAATGCTTCATTGTTTTTACTGCAACTTCCCAAGTGTCAGTTTTCTAAACACATCATACTTAGAAACTGTCTCAAGAATCTTCTTGCTGTCTTTGTTAGAAATCCTAGAAATTTATCAGAGAACAGGCTCCAATTTTGTTCTTCAATCTGAAAGTGGATGTTAGAGATTATAGGATATTTGGAGGATAGTATTGATGATTAGTAAAAGAGAACATAAGGATTATGATGGACTGATTAAAGAAATCAAAGAAGCACTTCATTTCTACTTGAAAAATGAGAAACCCTGAATAACTATCTCCATTGAAATGAGTAAACTGTTGATTACAATAGACTAAACTGACAGAGAAGTTAGAAATTTGTAGGTCTTCTGGATGTTGAAAATACATCTTAAACTCAACCATCTCAAACTGAACTTTTGATCTTCCTCACTAATACCACTACTCCAGCAGCCTTCCCCAGATTAGAAGATGGCAACTCCTAAAACATTTGGGATCATGCTCAACACAAGACCCATGTTCTTTCTGTCAGAAAATTCTGTTGGCTTTGTCTTCAAAACATACTCAGAATTCTGTGCTTCGCACTACTTCTACTGCTACCTCTTGTTGGGAGCCATGGTAATCCATTGGCCAAATCACTGCAGTGTCCTCCTGATGGCCCTATTTTCATACTTGATCCCTATAGTGTATTCTTACTGCAGCAACACAGCAGCAACAGTAGTGAGCCTTTCAAATCTAAGTCAGACTTTCACACTTATCTGCTCAATACCTCCCAGAGGTTCCCCTTACTGACAGTAAAGCCAGTGTCCTTACAATGCCCCATGAGGTTTTTCCTGCCCTGCCTCTTGTCCCCCCATGGCCTCTCAAACTTCATGTCCAATTCTCTTTTCCTTGCTCACTTTGTTCAGGCTATATTGACCTCATTGCTATTTCTTGGGTATGCGAGGTATACATCTGCCTTATTTTTTCATTGACTCTTCCTTCTGCCAGGAGTACTCATTTTCCAGAGTGGACAAACTGTACTGAAATATAGAGAATACACAAATTGCATTGTATGTGCATTTATGTACACACACCACCACCACCACCATATCTTCAAAGCACCAGAGAATCTGAAAGCTAACAAGATAGCGAAGAATCATTGAGCTAGTGTCCAGAAAGGATTGACCTATCTTTCCCTGGATGGTAGGAGGAATTGCTGACCACTAAAGAAGCTGCCAGGAGGCTGAGCAGTATTCTCAATAGTCTTGCAATGCCTGGCTGATAGAAGGTCAGATCCTTAGCACAGCAAAGTGTGTTTATCCAGGGAGATTTTGGTCAACTCCCTGATTTGGTTTGTGCTGCATTTTAGGATTAACAATAAGCTGCAAGAAGGCTCAGCCATGTGTGCATTTCAGCCCAGCTTCAAATTATCTCAGGCACTGTGAAGGAATGAAGTTATCTTCAGTAGTATCATTAATGTCCCAGCTACTAGGCAGAAACAAACAAATGCTCTTTGAGAAAGGTATCTCCTGGGATCCAAATTATTTCTGTATTTTTTCAAGCACAGTGAGTCACACAATAAAAAATAATGAGGCAAGCAAGGCGAAAAGGGAGTAGGCATACCCAAAAAATGATATAAATAGCAAAAATAGAAATAAACTCATTACAAGCTAGGTGTGGTGGCACATGCCTGTAATCTCAGTACTCTGGGAGGGTGAGGCAGGAGGATTTCAAGTCAGCCCAGCATGGGCAATTTAGCAACTTAATGTGAGCCCTTGCCCCAAAATAAAAAAATAAATTAAATTTAAAAATCAACAGTGAGGGATGTCACTCAGTGTGAAGACTCTAGGTTCAATCCCCATTTCCATAAAAATACAGTTATTAAAAAATATGGAAGAGTTGTAACTCACCAGTATTTAATTCATTGATTAAATCATTGAGAAATGTGTTTTAATAGAAAAGAGAAAAAAGTTGAGAACTGTGTTTAAGAGTGAGAAGAGAACAGTTTTATTTTTAGATAGTGTCTTGTTCTGGGTTGAAGTGATTCTCCCGCTTCAGCCACCCAAGTAGCTGGGACTACAGGCCTGCACCACCATGCCCAGCTCAAGAAAGCAATTTTAGTTTATGAAAGAATATTTGCATATTTGTAAATTATTTAATGGATGTGTGAATTTTTTGTACTTTTAAATATGTTTTTCCTATGAAACAGTCTTTCCTGGAAGTATTTTAAACTACCATCAAGAGCCTATCAATGCAGGCTGATTTAAGATTTTTTTGTGACAGAAATCAGGTAATTAGAACTGATAAATCTCAGGGTGGCTCCTCCAGCAATAACTTCCAAGAAAAGTTATACATAATAATGTAAACGTTACAAAGGATCTAGACCAGCAGGATGTACTACGGTGCTCTTTGCTCTTTACACATCCCATTGCTGAATTGACCTCAATAAAAGCTCTGCAAATGGAGGTGATTAGTGAAGTGTCAGTGTTGTGCCCCAGTTCTTTTTTTGTAAAATAATGTGGTCTCAAAGTCCATTCATTCACTCATTCATTCATGTATTCATTCATGTATGCATGCTTTTTGAGACAAGACCTCTCTTTGTAGTTCAGGCTGGCCTTGAACTCACTATGTAGGCCAGGCTAACCTCGAACTCATGGTGATCCTCCTGCCTCATCCTCCTGAGTGCTGGAATTACAGATGTGTACCACCATGCCTGGCATGTGCCCCAGTTCTTGAGGGGAGAAGAGATTGCCGTTTTCATTTGCCCTTGATAAGGAGGACACAGTTAAGTTTATAAAATAGGTTATGTTTTTATAGGACATAGAGACATGTTGTTTCCAACTTTCAGCTAGTCTTCTAACCACTTTTTCTTTTTCCAGAATGAACATGTTAATTGGGTAGATGTTGGTGGGGCCTATGTGGGGCCAACTCAGAACAGAATCTTACGCTTATCTAAGGAGCTGGGACTTGAAACTTACAAAGTGAATGTCAACGAGCGTCTTGTTCAGTATGTCAAGGTAAGCCTGACTTTTCACCCAACTGACTGGTGTGGAAGCATTTTATTTGAGAAAGCATTTGGTTTGTTTTTGTTATTTTTTTTCTGAAACCTATCATAAAAACAGTTTCTTGGCTTTAAAGTAATATTCTACCTTTATTTGCTTGATTAAAAAAAATTCTAAGAATTCCTAAAATCTGTGAAGGATCTTGCCTCAGCTTGATCCTCCTCGCTTTTGCCCTCTATGGTTCTTACTAGTTGTACCACCACTTCCCTCGCATTTGCAAGGCATAGGGACTGGAGGTTCCTGCTGTGTGTGTGTGTGGCACACACACACACACACATCCTTCCACCCCTCCCTCATCCCAGGAAATATATAGTGTTTGAACTGGTTCTTCCTGTTCATTCTTATCAGCATTTCTTTAAACACTTTAATCATTTCCTCTGTATCTAGCTTTGACTCTTGAGAAGTTTAGTGCAGTTGTGCATTTTTCTACTGTTTAAACAAGAGATTGTTTAAACTGGAGCTACTCATATCCATCTAAGAAACAGCAGCTGTTACCACTGTTATTCTTTCTCATGGAAACCAAACATGGAGTAGTTAGAATCTGGAAACCTGCCTTAAGAAATCAAGTTTCCTATCTGTCATTGCAGTCCATTTCCTCGAACTAGTGTCACTAGGGCAGAGGCCATGTATTCATTCTAATGGCAGGATTCCCATGTCAGGAACCATACACTTTTCAAAAAAAAAAAAAAAAATCACCCACTGATTCTATTGTAGGCAGCCACTGTGGATCTGGAGGCTACAGGGCTTTTTGGAATGTACTGGGAGTGAAGGGTACTTACGATGTGTGCACACTGATGCAGTAAAGAAATCAAGAATCCTGATGTGTGCAGACTGATGCAATAAAGAAATCAAGAGTCCTGGGAAACTGATAGCCATGTCATTCTGGATGATTGGGAAAGTGGCAGTTTGACAAATATAAAATCAAACCTATAGCCTTAAGAAAACCTGTATGTCTTAGTTACTTTGCCATACTATGCAAAGCTGTGCTGTTCTGTGCTGTCTTCTGCTGTCCTGTGCTGTCAGGTCCTCTCCTGTCCTATCCAGTCTGGTCCAGTCCAGCCCTATGTGATCCTATGTTATTTGATCATATGCTATGCGGTCCTATGCTACTCAATCCTATGTAATCTGATCCTGTGCTATCCGATCCTATGCTCTGCTATGCTATTCTTTTCCTATCCTGTGCTATGCTATCTTTTCCTTTCCTATCCTATCCTATCCTATCCTATCCTGTGTTATCTTATGTTTTCCTATGCTGTGCTATGCTACTGTAGGTTACTGTAGGCTGTCCTATCCTATGCTGTCCTATTCTAGGCTACCTGATCCTATGCTATCCTATCCTACCCTTCACTAGCCTATGCTATGCTATGATATCATATCCTATTGTATTGTATGCTATGCTATCCTACACTATGCTATGCTATGCTATGTTATGCTATTCTATGCTGTCTTATGCTATCATATCCTATGCTATCCTATCCTATGCTGTGCTGTGCTATGCTATGCTATGCTATGCTATGCTACCATGTCCTCTGCTGTCCTATCCTGTGCTATCCTATACTATGCTATCCTATGCTATGCTATCCTATCCTGTGCTATCCTAACCTATGCTATCCTATCATGTGCTATCCTATCATATGTTATCCTATACTGTTCTATCCTATCCTGTGCAATCCAATCCTATGTACCCTATCCTATGCAATCCTATCCTGTGCTATCCTATCCTATGCTATTCTTTCCTACCATATCCTATACTCTCCTGTCCTATACTATGCCATTCCATGCTATGCTATACTACGTTATGCTATGCTATGCTATCCTATCCTATGCTATGCTAAGCTGTGCTGTGCTGTGCTGTAACTGTGCTGTGCTGTGCTGTGCTGTGCTGTGCTGTGCTGTGCTGTGCTTTCCTATGCTACACTACAGTATGGTGTGCTGTGCTATGCTGTACTGTGCTATGCTGTTCGGTGCTGTCCTGATCTGTCTTGTGCTATCCTGTCTTATCCTATGCTATGCTATGCTATGTTAACCTGTGCTATCCTGTGCTATCCTATGCTATCTTATGCTGTCTTATCCTATCTTATCCTATACTATCTATCCTATGCAATCCTATCCTATGCTCTCCTATCCTGTGCTATCCTAACCTGTGCTGTCCTAATCTGCTGTACTATCCTGTGCTATCCTATCCCATGCTATCCTATCCTTTCCTATCATATCCTGTGCTCTTCTGCCCTATGCTATGCCATGCTATGCTGTGCCATTCTACCTATTGTATCCTATGTTATCCTATGCTATCCTATCCTGTCCTTCCCTATCCTATCCTATGCTATGCTAAGCTGTACTGTGCTGTGCTGTGCTGTGCTGTGTTGTGTTGTCCTGTCCTGTCCTGTGCTGTCCTGTCTTACCCTATGCTATGCTATGCAATGTTATGCTAACTAATGCTATGCTATCCTATCCTCTAGTATCCTGTCCTGTTCTGTCCTATTCCATGCCATGCCATACCATGTCATGCCTTGCTATGCTATTCTTTTTTTGGTAGGAGCAGAATATATTTACTGAGGGAAAGAAAGCATCTGTCTTAGAGATGGACTGAAGGGGGCCTGACTGAGTTGCCCAGGACCCTACCCTTCCTAGGGATTTTATAGAGCAAGACCATAGCATAGCATAGCATAGCATAGCATAGCATAGCATAGGATAGCATAACATAGCATAGCATAGCATAGAGTAGCATAGCATAATTAGAATAAGATAGGACATTGTAACATAGCATAGCATTGGATAGCATTGCATAGCATAAGATAGGATAGGATACCATAGCACAGTGTAGCATAACATAGCACAGGATAGGGTGTGGTAGGATAGGGTAGGGTAGCATAGCGTAGCATAGCACAGAATGGCATAGGATAGCATAGCTAAGATAAGATAGCATAGGATAGTATAGTGTCTTATTTACTTTTGTTTTGCTGCTGAGACAAAATACATGATACCCAAAATTAAGGAAGCAAAGGTTTACTTAGCTCACAATTTGTGGAGGTTTCAGTCCATAATCAGCTGACTACAAGGCAGAGTGGCACATGGGAGAAGGGCAATTGTTTATGGAAGCAGGAGCTATCAAAGCAACAAACAGCAAAAGGAGTATAAACAAGCCTCTTTCTTCTCTTATGTTATATGCAGACTACCTGCCCTAGGGCAGGTGTAGCACTCACAACCCAAATTCCACTACTAGACAATAAACCAATCACGAACTTTAGATTCAGCCGCCTCTGAAAAGCCCACCCCCCCATAACTGCTGAGGCTTTTGCAGGGACATCCAGACACAAACCATAGCATCCTACCTCTGGTTCCCCAAAGATTCATGCACATCTGTTTATGCATAAGGCATTTATTCCATCTCTAAGAATTTCCAAAGTCTGAACAGTTTCAGCATTGCTGAAAAGTCCATGTCAGAAGTCTCTTCCAAGATATAAGGCAAACTGTTAGCTGTGAGCTCCTATAGAAATGAAAAGAAAGTTAAGCACTTCCAACATTCAATGGCACAAGATAGACATTTTCATTCCAAATTTACCAACAAGGGGATACAAAGGAACGGGAGAAAAGCAAGTCCAAAATTCAGCAGGGCATACATTAAATCCTATAGTACCACATGCAGCATCCAAGACATTCTGTGACAAGTTGTGAGCTCCAAAAGGCTTGGGTAGCTCCATCCCTATGGTACTTCTGGTGGTAGTAGCTCCCATGGCTTCTCTTTTTAGGCCCACTTTGCTCCCTCCTTGAAGCTTTCTTTCGTTGATCCACCTCCTGGTTTCTCCAAACTTTTGGGGTCTCAAATGCACCTTTGGCTTCACCCTCACAGCTTCACACACTACCCTCTCAGGGGCACACTGCCTAGCCTCCTAGGTCTGAAATCAGAGTGGAAGCCTTAACCCCACAGCTCTTGCATTCTGTGTGCACCTAAAACCAACGCCACATGGATGATGCCAAGATCTGCTGTCAGCTGGAGCAGTAGGCAGGCTTTTCTCTGTCTTGGCTGTAGGGGTCAAGTGACTGGATCGCTGAACTCTCTGAATCCATTTCTGAGGAACAAATTCTCTATGCCACTGTAATTCTGGAACATGATGCTCTGCAGCTTTCTTCTCAAAGTGAATTCTTGGTTTTGCAGTTTTGAGGCTACCACGGGTAGAGTTCTGTTTCCTGTGATGCCCTCAGGCTATCTTTTTCATTCTCCCATTCCTTTGCAGCAATCAAGATCTCTCCTCTGTATTTGCAGTCCATAGCTTTGCTGGAGCTTCCCTTCTGGCCAAACTCACATTTTAAATCATTCTGCTAGAGCAAACAGAATCACCAAAACAACACCTAGGATTTGGAGGCATATTTATTTTATGCTGATGGGCACTAATTGGGATCATTCCCAAAATATCAGGCCCTGATCTCTGGTGGTCTAGGGCTTATATGGGATAAGTAAGCAGGAAGTATAGAGGCAGAATGGCTTGTCAGTTGAGGATTGGTTCTGTTCAAGTGACTAGCTATCCATCACATTGATCAGCCATTTCTAAGAAACAGAAGCACCCAGAACTGCAATGGGAAGTATTACCTGGGCAACTATGAAATTGAAGTATACTAGCTGGGGGGTCATTTTCTGTTACAGTTCTGCTAGGCTCTTTGCTCTTGATTCTCAACATAGATCTAACTAAAAGACCCCAATAGCAGCCATGTCACGGCCTCAACATTAGACTCCCTTGGAATTTCCCTTACTCTCAGGCAGTCTCAAGATATGAGCAAAATGCAGACAAACTTTCTGCCAAGCCATAATACACATCATCTGGAGTCCAGCAGCCAATGCAGTCTTTCTTCCCAGCAGAAACCTCTTGAACCTGGTCTTTGCCTGTAGGATTTTTATCAGCCTTCTGGACCTCTGAGCTCTGACCAGAATCTCCCATACAGAACAGCCTAAGGCATTC